TTATAGATCCAAATATCGATATATTATGATCAGAGTTTATTTTTTTAAGCTTTCAATTTTGAGGAATTGACAGTTTGATTGATTGATCTAAGAAAAAACATTTCTAAAATATTTTTCATTTTAAATGCCAACTATTCCCACTACAAATTTTTCAGACACAAATATTTATACATAACCACAAGATTAGTTAGAATTTTGCAAAATTTACAAGTCAATTTTACTGTAGTATATTAAATTAAACCTCGTCAAAATTACTGTGTATTTACAGAAAATTATTCCTTAATTTAAAAAATATATCTCATTAGTTTAACAAATTGTTTATATAACAAACATAAATTATATTAGTTATATAAATTATATTAACTAAACTTTAATATTTGCATAAAATATAATAATAATAATAATTTTTTTCTAATCTGATCATTTGATCTAATGTATTATAGAATATAATTTAATAACACAATTACTAGTATAGTGTTTGAAATTTGTTTTTTTGACAGAAACACAGAATATTCATCACAAACTATTTTAATATTTTTTATATAATAATTAAAAATTCTTACGTTTCGACGGCTTTTGGATGAATTAAAACAGAGACTAGAAATACGTGATGAACTGGAACAATTGTTGGGACAACAACTACAACAATTAGTGGCACAAAACCAGTAAAAAGTTTTGTTATAATATTTACTCAAAGCATAACGAATGCCAATAAACAAGATAGTCATTAAGTAAACCGTTAATATAATGCTAATATAAAGTAACGCTGTTTTCCATGAATTCTCGTGCGATTCTGTAATTATACGCTGAGACTCGTTGTCATTGTTTGTGTCAATTGATGTCTGAGTGACACCCGGGTCTATAGAAGTGACAAAAGTGAGTCCTAATTGAGTGTATGTCTGTTCGGAGCAATTTGCTTGAATAGCAATGCCTTTGGTCTGGTTTTGAGACATTCGCACAGTTGTCGCACTCAACAAAACACAGCAATCATTGCAAATAATGTGAAGTAATTGATGCCAACAAAGACTCTAAACATGTATTTCAAACATTTTTTTCGTAAGAAACAAACTTTTTAGTGACACACAAACGCATAGTCAGCTGAACACTCACTAATTAAACACATCCCGCGACTCATACTGTCTCTGCTCTGGCAGTGAGTCCTGTTTCCAGTGTTTCCATAGAAACCTCAGATGTAGAGCACATCACGTCTTCATCTTTTGCCAACTTATTAAATGCCATCAATTCATCGCAATGTAAACCAAATGAATGATGAAAGTCAATGAATTGTTGGTTCAAATCATTTCAATTATTATTTGTTTCTATTTCCACTAAATAACGACTCAAATTGACTAAATCCCCAATACAACCTTGCTTAATGAAATAGCCACTAAACTTTTCATATTATGACATTTTATTTCTAATACTCTAATCACTAGTAAAATAGAGATTAAAATCTATCAATTATTTTCTTTTATACACTAGAAGTACATAACAAACATTGATAAGAGTATTATTAGTACTGTATACTGTAGTTAGCAAAAAACAATTATTTTATACTATATATTGTAAATGTATTGACAAACACTGTACTTGTGTATTAGGTTCATACTGTATGTTCATATATAAAGAATTAGTAAACTTTATACACTTTTTTAGTTTAGCTATAAAACTTGATGTGAATTATTTGTTAATTGAATTTCAAATTCACAAACACTTTACACAAAAAGGACGAACCAATAAAGTGGGTCCAAAATAATGATTAAAAGTCAACATAAAGTGTAAATAAGTTGGAAACTGACTTCAAAATTGATTTTATTGTCGCCCATTATTCTCTATTCCATATCATATATCACACTATAAAACATTTTCATTAAGAATTCCATTGAAAGCATTAAAACCATTAATATATTATATTATAAATTTACTTTATTTGTACAATTTTAGTGCTTCACTGAAACTGAATTGACTCGTAAGTCAAATAAATGCATTTAATCAATTACTTGAAAGTTTATTTTAAATAAAACTTAGGGTCGTATTTCAAATGATGTTTTAATTGTCAATTTGTCAAAAATAAATTTTAAGAAAAAAGTTAACAAATAATGAACAGTGAGTGTATAATTAACACAAATAGCTGTCAAAATAAGTGAAGTGCACTCATATTAATAGAATCGAAAGCAAAGTACAGAATATTCGGAGAAAATGTAGAGAATTGCGAAATTTGTGCGAAAATAGATTAAAGAGTTTGTGAATCAATAAGTGATTTATTAGTGTTTTGTGTGAAGTTTACATCAAANGGCGTCGACATATCAGAGGTGCCTCTCAATGAACTGCGATCTCGTATATCAATCATACCTCAGGACCCGATCCTATTCCGCGGTTCAATCAGAAAAAATTTGGATCCGTTTAACGAATTCAAGACACAGACTATAATGGAGGCCTTGGATTGCGTTAATTTGAAACAAAAAGTCAATCATCTGAAGAATGGGATCAATAATTCAGTGAATGAAAGCGGCGCTAGTTTTTCAGCCGGTGAACGACAACTGCTTTGTATGTCCAGAGCTCTGCTCAGGAGAAGCAAAATCATGGTTTTGGACGAAGCGATGGCTCACGTGGACGGAGAGACACAGAATATCATTCACAACACCGTCAGGAATGCCTTCAAAGACTGCACTGTCATTACAATCGCACACCGATTGGCAACCGTTCGGGACTGCGACCGAGTTATGGTTATGAGCGATGGAAAGGTATTCTTTGGGATCTATTATTCATTTCATTTCATATATTAATTCATTGCATTTATTTCTATAAAGATTGTGGAGTTTGATAAGCCATCGGTTTTGGCCGCAAATCCGGACTCATTTTTCTATCAAATGATTGCAATTAATCAAAATTAACTCCAAATAATTATTAACAGAGATATTCTCTCAAAATGCTTTAATTTAAGTACTGTATTCATATCTTATATCAAATATTAAGATCATAAGGAATACAAACTTTTAGATATACTTCTAAATGAGATTTACTTTGAATTTTTAAAGTTAACAATTATAACGTTGTACAATAAATATATGTAATCTTTTGCAGTATGATCACATATTTATAATAAGTTACTGTAGCTTGGTCAGATATGTTTTCCACTTTAAATGGAAACCCTAAATGAATAGTATACTGTATATTAAGGAGAATTATTTAAAAATAATTTTAGAATACTTATTACAGTATTAATAGAAACCAACAAAAGTAATGAATAAATTGATTTAAGAAAACATACAAATTTTTATTTTATAATATTTGATAACTTAATAAATATAATTACGTTTATGTTTGTGACTTGTGAACAACTTTTATGGGTTTGTTATTGTAAGACAAAATTGTATTTGAGAAAATATTGTTTTATTCAAATAATGTTGCATTTATTGAATAAATCAATTTATTGTCAACTTTAATTCAAACATAACGTATATTTTATTAGATTCTTGTCGTTTGACATTCTGTTACAAAATATATAAATAATAATTTATGAAACTGTAAAACAAAGTTTAAAATAAATTCTCAATGTTTTAGACTTAATTCTTCACTGTTTTACAACAAAACATTTTTTGAAGTTTTATAAAATACAATAGTTTCAACTAATTTTATAAATATAAACAAAACCTCAAATAATAATCTTTATTAAAAAACATGTAAACTATAGATGGGTTTCTTCGTACGTTTGCATCACTTCTATTGAGTTTAAGTCATTTGGAGTTAATAT